TTTTTTTTTTTTTTTTTTTTTGGTACCGGGGATCGAACTCAGGTCCTTGCATTTGTGAGGCAGGCAGCGGAACCACTGAGCTAAATCCCTGGCCCAAGGTAAACACTTCGTAACACTTTTAAAATTCCATTTTATCTAACAGTATTGGCACATTGTTAGCCACTCTGAGAAGGCTTTTTCAAGTCACATACTACAGTGGTCTCGTTATCCGATCTCAAAGATGGAGTAATCACAGGAATAAAGTTCTTCTAAAGTCCTCAAAAGATCTAAAAAAATGGTACTGAATTCTTAGACACTAGCCCCGTTTTTGAGCATGAAAATCATGGAAAAAGACTAAGGCAGGGGTGGCGAACGTATGGCACACATGTTATTTGCTTTTAATACAAAAAACAAAAAGTAATGTCTGAGATTTTTTTTCTAAACTAAAACCTCAGTCAGTGTTCGGGTTTAATTGCAGTGTCGGCACTTTGTATTAAAAACAGTAAGTGGATTTTGGGTGCCAGTTTGGGCTCTCGTCTCTGAAATGTTCACCATCACTGCTGTAAGCTACTGACTGTGGTTTCAAAACTTTCCAGTCACACTTTCTACCATCAACTGGTAATGCCAGATTCTCTCCGTCCTTTCAAAGTTCACCTGCCACTTTCCCTTCAACTTGACCTCTGAAGTAGTTACGACAGTTTCCTCGCATTGTTTGTGGTGCCAGTGGTTTACACTGGACTGTTTCTCCTATGTCCACGCAGTACTCCTCCTACTCCTTTATTCTTTGGCTCTTACTGTTCTGTTTTGTTGTTGTTGCGTTGGTGGTGCTGGGGATGAAACCCAGGGCGTGCTCTACTACTGCATCATATCCCAGCCCTGCTGCCTTCTTCCTCACTATAATCCTCTTTTATTCACGCTCGGATTTTCTTAATTTCCTGTCCTGGAAATTTGCTGTAGTGGACTTCAGACCTTCGTCCTGTTTGGAAGACTCCCAGGCTGAAGTGTCCATCCCAACACTGCCGTCTATGTATGGGTACTGGGCTCGTGCCTCAGCACACCTAAAATGCACGTGTCTAAAACATGGAAAAACTAATTTTATTCTAGCACTCCTCAGTGAAGGGTCAGACTCCTTTTTGAATTTTTCTTTGTTTATGCTCAGAATCTTACCAGTGTTAACCACATATAAGCAGCCACTTAGCCCAGTCACTTCTGCAGTTTCTTATATTCGTAACTTCAAGTGCGAGCCTTGTAACTGTCTCTCTTCTCACTTCCCTGTGTTCAGTTCCTGCCTTCAGTGTGCTCTGCAGCATGCTCCCCAGATTCTCCTCTGCACAGCGTCCTCTACTCAGTGTCTTCAGTAATCCCCAGTACTTAGAGACAGGCCCAGCGCCTGCACGGAAGGTTTTATTCCCCGTCTTACTCTCTCATGCAAGTGCTCTTTCTCAATCGAGCTGGTTTCCTTGTGTAAATAAATGCCATTTCTAACATATTTTCCACTGTCCTGTGGTCTTAGTCACTTTCTCATCCTTGGGAAAAGACGCCTGACTCCTACAGTGAAAGGAGCAGAGGTTTATCTTGGCTCTCATTTTCAGTCCACAGTTGGCTGGCTCCAAAGCCAAAAGGCATGGTGGAGGGGCCTGGATGGAGGAGAGCTGCTCACCTCATGGGAGCCAGGAAGCAGAGAGGGCAGGGAGAGAGACCCTGTAACCCTCTCCTAGGATGGTCGTCCTCATCGTCAATGAATCTTACTGCTTGCTGCGCCTGCTGACTACCATGCACATTTGACTGGCTCCCGGCACGTTAACCTCTGACAGAGCAGGCAGGCTGTCTGTACAGGCATGCTGTGTTTTAGTACGAGAAGCAAGTAGGACAGTATCTGGAACACATTATATAGCAAGGAGGGCCAGAAACGTCACGATTCATCTAGGGCCCTACAGAGACACAAACCAAGCTTGGCAGATGAGCACAGTTATTCAGGGCAAAATGGGGGTGTGGGGGACAATGGGGAGCAGTACAGCGTCTCTCAGGGAAGCTCAGAAAGTCACAGGCAGCAGGAATTTTCATTTGTACAGCCTCACACACTAGAGGGACATGACAACCTTCTAGTGTCCCACTGGATCGGTGACTGTTAATGCTGAGTGACAAATCTGGGAGCACATGTGATGTGAAAAACTCCTTTGACAAATATGATCATTTCCCTCTCTTCCTTTGTCCATGCAGCTTCTGAACAGAGCAAGAGAGAATGTAAAGACAGTGAGCTCTAGAAGACAGGAACCCTCACACATGTGTAAAGTCCACACTCCACCAAATATCTTCACTGGGTTGGTTGTTTTTTTGGTACTGGGGACTGAACTCAGGACCTTGAGGCAGGTTGGCGGCACTGCTGAGCTAAATCCCTGACCCTACCTGCAGTGTTTTCAAAGAAGTCACATTCCCAATTAGTTTTGTTCTCAGATGATCTCCTTTAAAAATTCATG